CATACTGTTATCAGGTCCACTGGCAACCGAAGTTCCCGACCAAACATCAGCTTTGCTGAAGTGTATCCATTGACTTCATGCTCTGATGTTCTATAGGCCATCAACAGTGGAGGGAGTAAGACATCCCAGTCATCTTGGCAGCTATTACAAAACTTTGCCAATTCCTGTCCCAGTGTCCAATTGTACTTTTCTACCATCCCATCAGACTGTGAATGAAGTGGTGTTTTCCTGGTCTTTCGTATGCCAAACAAATTGCAGCATTCATGGAACACAGCTGAATCAAAGTTACGGCCTTAAACAGAATGCAGTTCATATTGCATACCAAACCTGAAGAAGAAATCACTAATAGACGAAGCTACAGTTGTAGCTTCCTGATTTGGTATTTCATGTGCCTCAGGTCACTTGGTGAAATAATCCATCACCACACAAATGTACCTGTATCCAGCACGAGTTCAGGGCAATTGACTAGCAATGTCAACGGCTACTCTTTCCATTGGTGCACCAACTTGATATAACTTCATTGGAGCACGTCCCTTATGCTTGGGTCCCCTTTTAGCACAACATGTGCTGCAGATCCTGCACCATTCTTCCACATCGTGCCTTATACCTATCCAGTCAAATCTCTGCCATAGGTGACTCAATGTCTTCTTGACTCCAAGATGTCCTCCTGTTACAGTATCATGGGATTGACACAGCACAACTTCCCGTAACTTTTTCGGTATAACTGTTTGCCAGGTCATCACTTTCCCATCTCTGGAGAAGAATACCATCTTCAAGCTTTAACTGGTCTCATTGTGCCCAATAGTTCTTTTTCACAGGGCTTAAGCTAGACACCTTCTCCCAAGCAGGGGGCAAAACACTTGCTTGTAGAAAATCAATTATTGGCTTCAAATTTCGGTCTTTCTCCTGCTCTCCTTCAATATCTATACCTGGTTCCACTTCACCATCATCAACTCCTTCAGTCACTTTGACTTCAGCTTGATGGCACCTGGTTAGTTCAACCTCTCTCTTTTGCAGCAATGTCTGCAGTCATTTTTGCAGGGTCTTCAGCTCAGTCCGTCAGCATTTACATGAGATTTTCCTTCTCTCTATTCAATATCATAGTTATACTGGTCTATCTTTCCGATTCAATGTGCCAGTTGTCCCTCTGGGTTCTTTAATGATCTTAACCAGCGTAATGCCGCATGGTTTGTACTGATGGTAAACATGGCGCCATAGAGATAAGGATGGAAATATGTCAGACTCTTTACTATAGCAAGAAGTTCTCTCCATGTTACACAGTAGTTCCTCTCTGGTCCCTACTGAAGTAGGCTACCACATGTTCCGTGAAAGCAGTGGAAGATCCATCCAGGCCAGCAGACGTGAAGATTGGAAGGTCACTTGTGGCAGGTCATCAAATAGTACCCATAACAGTGGCTAATTTCTCTAAATGTGAGCAGACACTTAAGGAAGGGGCATTATTGAGTGTGTGCCAGGAGGTAGAGCTAGTCAATGTTAAGGCAAGAAATACAACTGTAAAGAAAGGACATACATCCAGAACATTTAACTGATTTCTATAAGAAGAGCATAGCCCATTTGCCATCATCACACGCTCTTCGGGTTAGAGAACTCTTGGCGAAATATGCAGACGTCTTTTCGGCTGCACAGACCTTAAGTTGTCTTCTCCATGGGAAAGCCCATATGACATAGTGGATCGTCTCTCAGACGTGACTTTCCGAATAAAATGTGGTCGGCGAGGTAAGCCAAAGATAGTGCATGCCAACAGGCTTTGGCATTATCACGGTCCAGGTCATTTCAATTGGAACAAAGTGAACAACGTAACAAATGACGCTGCTAAAGACGTGTCACCTGAAAAAGCCACTGTTGAAGAAGAAACTCTACCCGGTTTTGAGAGGGAAAACAGTGAAGCCGTTAATGAAGTTACTACACTGATGTGACTGTTACTGATAATGGGACATTTCCTGATGGAGCAGATGAACCCCACGTGAAGCAGAAGCCAATGAGATGGAGACCAGTACGAAAGAAAAACGTCCTGTAAAATTAAGAGACCAATGTAGGTCCAATGTCTTTAGCAGATAGTACATGACCCATGAAAACAAGCCGCAAGACGTTAAACTGACATTTTATAGCGTATTATGTCAGTCTTTCTAACACTATCATCATGTTATTCTTCTGTTTTACTGCGAACAATGATTTCCGTAAACAATGATGTCAACAAACATGGCATTTTCACCCATACAACCTTGTAAGACTTGTTACATAGCACGTTTACACAATCAGTTGCACAACTGACCTGAACATTAATATTTTGCAGCGTTTCCTATGCATTACAAATGTAGTAAAATCACAGGATTCTAGATTTAGTTCAATTTTATGGTACCTGTACTTAATACCAACTTATTAAATACTATTTTGATTTAGGTCATTAAAACTTTATCGGTAGTAGGAATGGAGTGTCCCGCCCTTACAATTGTTATATTCGCTTTTCTCTTATCTTATTCACATGTAGTCATATTTCGATCCATGAGGATATGCATGGTGTCAAACCCTCTTCCTTCTCAGTAATGTCCATAATTTCAATTTGAGTTTAATACATTTGGTCGTTGTTAAACACAAACTTCACAATGGGTTGTCTGTGCACTGCCCATCGGGGTATCAAAACCAGAATTTTGGCGTCGTATGAGCCTGTGGGATTTTTATTACCCATTTTCTGGGATCCTAAGGTGACATCCATTTAGCTCATCTAGTCTCTTGTGTTGCTTTCAAATCCCATCTTGGAAACTTCAACTTTCAGTGCACTTTCATAACCCACTAAAGATTTGCCGTTTATTACATAGAGCTCTGCATTTGTGCACCCTAGACTTTCTGTACAAGGCTGAGCAGTAAATATCTCAAATATATCCAATGGTTTCCTATTGCTCTATACAAACACCTATCTGTTTGAGTTTTCGAAGCACACTTAATTTCTTATTTTGTTTTAAACAGTTCCATATAACTTGCACCAGAAATTACGCTTATTCATATATTTATTTTACCTTTTTCAAAATTGTCCCCAATTCTGAATACAATTTAATCTTTATATTCTCCCAAATCTTTTTCCATGTGGTTCATGCTCGCTGGACAGTTTTTGTCTTGACCAGAATATCCATCATTTCCACATCTGTAATGAGCCTCACTTTGCTTGGACTGTGTTTCTGAATCTGATTTATTCTTCAACCCTATTATTACGCCACATTCCAGTCTTTCATATAAATCGTTTCATCGGCCAAACTTCTGTCTTTCATGAATGTTGTTTATTTCAAATTCTAATATAATACCTTCTCTGTTTTTCGCATGTGTTTCTGCTGCTTCAGATGAACGGGCAACATCGCGAATTTGATCTAATTACAGATCAGCCCTCTTTTCTAATATGTTAGTTTTGATTGTGTAAGTTAGATTTCTCATTTACTCTGTTTTTATATGTTCGCAAATACACGCTTTTCTTCTTTCCTCCTTAAATATCAGTTATTGCTCATAATGGTTGGAGACGGCTTGAAAGGGTAATGAAGAAAGTCTTTAATATAAGTTTAACATAACAGCAAATGTACAACGTTTCGACAAGGTTTTGTCATCATCAGGTACGATATTGCTCAGTTCAAGTGTTTTATTGCGTAATAATTCTAAGTAAAAGAAACGTTTATCTATGATGCAAGATACTCAGTCACCGCACATAGGCCTTTACGTTGTGCATTATCACCAACTCCATTCCGGAAAGTATAAAACATATCTTGGATATCAACTTCAGCACAGTGAAGCAAAAAGCTTTTTTTCTTTTCTGCTTCATGTTTCACAGTTTGAGATGCCTTTTCCATCGGAAATATATTCAAAACTACATCTCTGTCTCTAATAACTTGATCAGATACTCGTCGGAGCACTCTTAAAGTTAAACTACTTTATAATTCCTTCCAAATACACCAAAACTGTCATAACAAATCGTTAATCGTCGCCAAAATATTATCATGCCATAACCTAACAGGCAGATAGTTACGGAATGCATCTACATAAACAAGGAATTCAATTATCTTCACACCATAGTTGTATTTAGTACTCAGGACTCTCACTCCAGGGATCAACCAATATTGACTACTCTTAACTCGAAATATACATTTTTCAGCTCAGCATCTAAAATAAGAAGTTCTTGCTTCACATTTTTTACAGATTTGGCATCATTCTGATATGGAAAACCACAAACTAAAGATTTAGTAAGAGTTTATTACATTTAGTTTAGTTAAATTTACGATTTCATGTTTAAAATTATCATGTCAAGTCATATTTTCTAGTTATTTACTATTAATGGAATTTTTGTTGACATTTGACTTAAAGTTTTATTAATACCTTTCTTTATTGTCCATATTACACATTTTAAACAATTTACTGATATTTTAAAGTTGTTGTCTTACATCTAAATAATTGTTAACTCTCTATTGCATTTGCTTACCAATTGACAAGTGTACTTAAAGTTAATCACTACCAAACTATAGACTTCTCATGGACTGCTTGTTGTTTTCAGCTGTATACATTAACTTATTCTTGAATTAAAACAAAATTGCTTCAAAGTCTTCCAAACAGCATAAATCAGTTTTGAAAGTTCCCAACTTTGTTTGTACCAAAGACAACACCTCAGTAGTGCTAAACTTCTGTTTTAGAATGATACCTCATAAGTGCAACTCAAAAATAAGTATAATCGTTTTTGTATGTTTTCAATGGTGCTAACCTTCAAATTTAGAGTTCCAAATAATATTAATCATTTACATGCATATAAAAAGTTCTGAATTGTTGTGGTGTACAGTGAAGCAATTGGGAATAGTAGACATTTCCTACAATTGCTCCCATAATTGAATGAAATTGAGAAAAACAGTAAAGAAAGGTTTTGATCTTCACGCTCATGCAAGGAAGATGGCGTACGAAAAATCGCCTAGTTCTAACTTAAAACAGGCAAAGTACAGTTAAGCAGCTAGCTAGAGAAAAATGAAAGGTCTATAGAGAAAAACTGACACTTATAGTCATCATAGCGACGCTTAGTAGAAGAAAAAAGCCCAGTTTAAGTAAACCACGAGTTTGACAAGGATGAACTTATGATGCTAACCTTTTAGTACAGTGAAAGCTATGAAAAAGTTGGGGTTAACTACCATGGTCGGAACTCTTGAGGTAGTATACATTACGGATTTTAGTGTAGTCATCCAAGTTAGAAGGCCACTAATTCATTGCTCCCAACAGGCAACCAATTACTTGATAGTTTTGTTTGTGGGAAGTATGATGAGTTGCAGAAATTAGCCAATGAAGTGTGAGAAATACTTGTGAGTAGCTATGCACACCACTATGGATACTGAGAAAATATCATTTATAAATTCATGTTGGGAGCTAGAAGTCAGTTCTCTCCAGAACAGAAGTTCAGTTCAGTTGAGAAATTGTTCGCAGTTCAGTTCTCCAGGACAGAAAGTAAGTAACAAGTTCAATATGCTGAAGGTATCCAATATTGAAATAAGCAAGCTCGCCACTCCAACTTTGATGTAAGTTACAAATGCTATTTCTCTCAGTCGATCAATGTAATTAAGAAACTAAATGTATAACATAGCTAGTAACCTGACTATGTCCGAGCATATCTCTAGTAATACAGTGATTAAGTGACAAATTTATTGAGTTAAGTCAATAACTAATGTAAGAGTTGTAATTGCCTCTTAATAAAGCGTTTTTAAAGATGGATGTTTTGTATAATCTTCGTCTCCGAGTCATTCCTTATTCTAACTGTAAACTCCTCGAGTTAGTGACTTGTGTGCTCCATTTGCGACTGTATCCTCATTTAAATAAATAAGTGTGACTGGTGGTAAAAATCGAAGCTCCAACTTCTAGCATACACGGCTGCCCGTCGCACAAATCTAAAGCTATTGTGTTAATTATTCCTTTGTAATATTGCAGTTTATAAAAATAATTCTACATTGTTGGAATATTATTGATTTCCTTTTGAAAAAACTGCATTCAATACATGCTGTTATCAACTGGTAATGTACCGAGAATATCTTAATTAACTGATGAAAGTTGAAATTTGTCTCTCATCAAATACACTAAGAAAAATCATTTTTAAAACATAATTTGTTCGTTTTCTTCAAAATCTCAAATTTGTGCACTAGAGATTTAAATTATCATAATACTAAATATGATAATCATCTTTAATTGGTTTATGCTTTCAAAAAAAAAACGTGTTGGATTTCATTGCCAAAGTATTCCACTACAATTCCTGCAACCAGAGACCCAACATTTTATAAATATTAACCACCAAACAACTGCTGCATCCCAGTTTACTGAAGAACTGTTTATTTTGTAACCATAGTTTTGAGTTGAAATATCTAATCTAAATACTTTTGTTATCAAAGAGGTTGATATATGCTCTCATTGCTTATATTCAATTTACAAGAGCTTCTGCAGCACTTAACAAACACTTCTTTCATTACAAATGTGTTTCATACAGATTTCATTCACAAACACAATGAAAAATTTTCAAGTAATCTAATGCCCTGAAAATTTATTTGGACACTTAAAAAAATATCCAAACAACAAAATATAACACAATGAATAAGTGTCACTAAGATGACAACTTTCTCAACTATTTCAAAACTCCTTAATTCATGATTTCACATCAAAACAGCATTTTGTTTACTTATCTTACATGACCCCACTAATAAATACACAAGTGTCTTGAAGACTTGACAGAAGCTGATAAGCAGACATTAGATTGTATATAATGATCAGTTTTGTGCATATTAATTTCAAGAGTGAAAATTTTATTGTTTTTTTTATAAATCAGTACTTTTAGTACAGGAAAACTGAAACTTAAAGATCTAAGTATTTCACAACTCATAGTGATTTCTTATAGTATAATATTTGTGGAAGTAGATGAGTGTGCATTAAATGAGTATTGTGGCTCAAAAGATACAGTTATGATGAACATTTTTTAGATATTATACATTATCTAAAGTTCTAGGCAGAAGTAGCATATTTGATGCTGTATGGATTAATCTTGAATATTTTATATCTATAAATACGAAACAGTGAAATGAAGATTTACTATAAGATACATAAAAGAAAAATTCTAATGAAAGAAAACAAACATTTTATTCATTAATGAAACTACTGTCTCATCTGTACAAAACATTTACAGCTTCAACTTGTGGTAAAGAGCCCGAATTTCAAGTATCAAGATTGAAATCTTAGCTCCATAAAAAAAGGTATCAAGACGTCATCTTCAACTCTTATACTCTAGAAATCTGCTTCAGTTTTGATAGTAAGAGTCAGTGGTAAGGTTGACTCATGACCTGGAGGAGGAGGCTCATTGTTTTGTAAAGTTATCAAAGATTCCTGTGGTGCCAAGCTCAAGTTGGAAAGAGAAGAGGTACCCTGCACAAACAACAAAAAAATAGTTCTGATCAGAGCACAAATAACACATCTATTTATGGATTGTAGACAGTAATTAAAACATAAGATCACTGATTCAATTGTTTTACCTGGCATACAACTTAAGTAACTTCCACACAGTAAATTAATATGTAAGAAATAACTAATATTATTTGATGACCTCAAAACAATGGCTAGTGCTGAAACATGTAATAATCACAACCCCTTAAAAGTTCCTTTTTTTTACTTCAAACTGGGATTGAAAAACACTATAAAACATAGTTCTAGTGTTATAATAAGAAATCACCATAGGACGTTTTTTGGTGCAATGAAGGCTTTTAATACAAATATTATACAGAGAAACATAAACAAGCTGACCTTACATGTTTCAGATAGCTAAACATGTATGTCCAACATCAGAGTTGAAATATTCAACTAACTATTTAAGAATAATTCTAGGCACCTTGATTTAAGATATTATATGAATATTTAAATATTTATACTGTTTTTCCAAAAATTCAATTTTTGAATACAGGAACAGTTAAACAGCAATTCAGTTTTGTGCCATAAGATATCACGATCTGTATTTACGTGATGCTCAGCCAGCGCGGAATCATAAACCTTTTTCAAGATTAATCTGGCGTTCTTTAATTCTTACCTTTAAATTTTTATTAAGGAACATTGAATCTTGTAAACACCATATTCATCAATGAACAGCTTTCAAAGTACATATTTTCTAGTAGTCCTTTATTTTTTTTTTTTTGGTGTACATTTTTTAAAGCATTTCTCTTAAAGTAACTTCCAGTGAGCCAAGTTCTTGTTATAAAGTGGAAATATAATTTCCTAATAATGTAATGTAAACTGTGGATTTCATAAATGAAGATGATGATTACGTTTATGTACTAATTTAATATGTTAATTAGTAAAGACACTCTCTACTTTAGTTTTATATACCATTATGTTACGTTTCTGGTTTGCACATAAAAGTACATCTTGTTATTAAAAGCCTGTAATGCACTAATATTGTGTTGGTAGAACGATCCATGCTTTTAATAATCTTAAAAGACTATTTACTATTTACTAATACTGTATTGTTTAAGAACTACATTTCACATACCAAATTCAAGCTGTAGAACAAAAATGGCCTCTAATTTTCTATACTTAACCAAAAAGGAGATTAAAATTAAGTACAATAAACCTCAACCAGTCTCAAAAACATTTTATAACAAAAATAAATAAAACGGCAATACTACTTTTTGCTCAAACATGAACACATAAATATTTATTACAACTATAATCTTAACTGTATGTTGCTTTCTTAGTCATTACTACTGTAAAATGTACCATTTAATTTTAATTAACAGGACTTACAGGTTCTTCTTGTTGTTCATCTTCAGAACCAAACAAAATATTTATGATGGCCTGAGGAATGTGAGCTTTCTGTAATAATAAAGAATTCAAGTTGCTGATAAACAAACTTCATAATAACAAATATATAATAATCGTTAAAATAAACCTACAAGTCTTTTTTTAAAATTAAAGATTAATATCTATTAAAATAAATTCACAATTTCTGAAAATGAAAACATTCCTTTAAGAATACAATAATTAGGCAGCCCACTGTTATAAACTTGAGAAGGTCCAACCACACTTAACTTGAAATAGACAGATCTGTTTTCAATTATGCTTCAATATTTTATCCAATCAAAAATAGCAGACTCCTTATACTGAAGAGATTATCATCAGCACTGTTTACTATTTAACATTTAATTATCTTATGATATGTAATCTTAAAGTGAGAAAAAAATATAAGAAAATTTAAAATAAGTTAGAATGTACAAGTCACTTGTTGTTAAACACAATGCACAATTGACTATCTGAGTTGTGCTTACTGCAGAGATTATATTCTGAACATTACAGTAACTTTCCAATTTACATTAGAAAATACAAAGTTAGGTGGATCAACGCAAACCGGCAATGACTTCCCCTTGACTTAGTGTTATAAAGAGAGCATGTACTCCTGGAGACTAATTTTAGGACACCCAAACATAACCTAACCCAACATAAAGACATAGAAAACTAGAGGGGCACCCAGTAGAGTACATATCTCTGCCACGTAGTGTTGATCATATTC